TCCAGAAAGTTCTTTCTGGTGATGCGTCATCATGTCTCTACCCAGGCCTCCCTCACAGTCAACCCCCCAACCCTCCAGATAATGCTGCTTTGGGTGGGGCAGGAGGCTATAAGTGAGTTTATGGCATCCCATTTGTAGGGACTGGCCTTCTTGCTCTGGCTGTTGTATGAAAAGCAACGGCCCTTTGGATCACTTGTGGTTTTATAGCCCTTCAAAGAGCTTGACAACAGCAGGATGTTACACGTGACGAAGAAGTACAACAGAAGTACAACAGGGAAAAATAGACCTTGTGGCTGCTTGGGAATATGATGAGCCTTTGACCGACCAACGATCATGGCTGGCCGCCTTGTCTTCAAAATTAACATTGCTTTTTAGAATAAAATGGTTTTGTCAACTCACTCCTGCAAGTCTGATGGCTTGTTGGGATACTCCATGTGCCCATTGTTGATATGGATTGAAGTGAGGGCCAAGGTGGATTTCAGGAATGGATGTGCGATCATCGGTAAAAGCCTGTACGATATTACTGACCTCTGTCTGCCCTCTGCACTCCCAGTACTTAGCATTGATTATTAATGTAGTGTTTTTCCCTCTTTCAAAGCTTGCGGACTAGCTCCTGCATCCTCTCACGCAGCTTGGTGTGTGCCGTGCCCTCTCTCACCAGTACCCTAGCGTCTTTCTCGCCGTGACGACCAGAACTGATGCCTGTAACCCAGTCCGGCATAACACGAGTGCAGAAAGCCACTCCGCAGTGGAGGAGGGGCAGAGATTATCCTCACAAAGCAGGGCTGAGATCCCAAAACGGAAGCTCTCGTGTTTCAGCATCTGGGAGGGAGGCAACACTACCCCTCTGTTTAGGGGGAGAATAACAAAGTAGTATTTAGAAAGACCCCGATTACAATTCAAAATAGCTTTTGAAATACACTTATGACTGTTACTGGCAGACTTAGATCTGCTGTGTTGTTCACAGCTCCTGGAAAATACATTTTAGCTATCAATGTTTGAAAACAAAGTGATCAGCAGTGATCGGTGGTATGTAGAGATATTTAAAGTCTAATTACATCCTCAACGTCCTCTGAATCTTGAACTTGGAACCAAGACCTGCATTTTCCCAGTACCAATCCTTTGATTTAAATAAGTCAGTCATTTATAGTTGCTGCTGGACTGAGCTGAGAATTAGCCTGAGGCTCATATTTCAGTTTTAGTTCTGATATGATGACTCATATCTAGGCAGCTTAGCTGTCTTTTCCTGGAAAAATAATGCTGTATGCCGTCCATATGAGCCATCAGAAGTATGCTTCTATAACATCCCATGCCACATAGGGCTATATCAATGGGTATGATTGTCAAGACAGATTTTGTGGCTCAAAATAGGATTGGGGAGTCCATTCCCAACAATCTGCTAATCAGCTACAGTGTGTGAAGCAAGGCTGGCGACTGTGGTCAGCTGGCTGGCGTGAGATTTTCAGTTTGAGACATGTCTGCACACGCATGCACACGCATGTAGCAGTTTTATTATCTGTAGGGTCTGTAGTCTGTAGGGTTTGCAAACTGCCATGTCACGTTTGATGTAGCTAATGTTAGGTTTGTAATAGAATAATACAGATTTGCCATAAGGTTTATGTGAGCGTGGTAGTCTGAGAGTGTGAGCGTCATGCCAGATGCGTGAGAGTTAGCAACACTGGTAAAGAGTTTATTGACTGGAAGTTATGGAGAGAGCTGTCAGCAGGAAGTGCGCAAGTCCGGTTACCCTCTGAGGACCCCATGTTTTGGTGAAAGCATATATACATCTCAGGAGTCTTCTGTTCCACTGATCTGCCTCTTGCCAGCCCCATGAGGATCCCAATGTGCGTCAGAGCTCCATGGCAAGGCAAACTTGCTTTTTACTGATAAAAAAATCATAAGCCACTCCTCCAGTTATGTAAAACTGAACTCCTAATCAACGGAGTGACCGTTACTATCACCACCTCTGATCGTCATGTGTGGGAGATCATTCCTGGCATCTCCTGGTTTCTTATCCCACATACCGTGGCGGAATGTCTTCAACCCAGGAACAGGAAAACGGGCCATGTCTGAGATGCAATAGCAACAGACTAGCAGCTCGTATTCCCCCGGGGTTCCCAGACTGCCTCAGACCTGCAACGAGAAAATGTTTGCTTGCCCGCTCGCCTCGCTCTGCTTTGGGAACTTATTAATGCCTCTGCTAATCGGATTAGCATCCGATCCTGCTGGGAAATCAGAGTCTATCTGCAATGCCCAGATAATTATTTGGCTTCAGATGCTTTCCTTTATTTTTGGGCAGGTTTCAGTTTTTGTTTGTTGCAGTGGGAATGGTTTGTGTAGTTTGCTTTCGTTTAATACTCCTGCTATCTGAGCTGATGACTTCAGCCATCTTATTATTGTCTAGGGATTTTCACATGTCTGTCATGTGGCTTAATTGTGAAAAGGAAGAAAGGAATAATTGGATTATTATTATTATTGTTGTTGTTGTTGTTGTTGTTATTATTGTTGTTATTATTATTATTGGGAAAATTGATGACTGTTGCTCCGGTTTAAAATTTTCGCTTTTTTTTTAGTTTGTCACTTGAGATTATGGCTAATTTCACAGCTCCTGTGAAAGTCTGTATACAAATTTGCAACATAAGATGAAATAAACTGCCAGTTTCAGCCTCATTAAAGCAAATGGATACTTAAAGGTTACCAGATCAGGGTTTGGGTTCCACTAAGGATCATCACCATTACAGTCACCACACTGGTGTTAGTTAATAGGAATGGAAATGTAGGTAGGCGACTCTTCTGTATGTGACTGTGACCCAGCATGAGGAGCAGCTCCCCATGGCATCGATCTCTCCATTTATCAGCTTATGTGACTCTGTGTGACTCGTGCAGACTTTTACAGCATGGTACCCTTGGGATTCCTTTTTATTGCTGACCTGTTTTGAGGAAGGAGCCAGAGCTATTCTTGAAGACTTTAGTGTTTACACTGTTAATTGGTCCTCCTTTCTGCTGTCTGCTTCCCCTCCCGCCTCTGCAACTGACCCCAGACACCATAATACAACAGTAGCTCATTAACTTGGGAAAAGATCCTTGTGGTTGTGTGTCTGATGACCAAAAGTTGGGCAAACTTATCCAACTCTGGAATCTAGAAACATACATTTACTTATTGTGGGTGAGGGCATGGTCTGCGGCCACCTCGGGGGATCATGTGACCATTATAATTTTTACTGATTGGTTCTACATTCCCCACAGCTTGCCATAATTTGCCCAGTTCTTGCGTTTACTCTGCACTCGTCCTCAGTGTGCTCCTTGAATCTGTTTGTGTCTTGCTGGCCCTGCCTAACCCCAATAAAGTAACATTTATGATATAAACAGCTCTCACTGCCAGTTGTATATATTCTTAGCCTAAAAGGAGAAATTGTGACACATATTTTTTAGTATCTGGAAAGACCCCTCATGTAAATGTGCTGTGGTTTGGCCAGAGTCCTGTGGCTTGGGCCCTTAATATGTTGAGGTAGCCGTTGGGTCTCTTCAATTGCAATGATAGCCTTTCGGCAGCTAAAATCTGCACTGACTCATGTCTCATCATTAACCCAGTGTCCCTGAGATCTGATTAAGTGCCTGTGACGTTTTATTTGATTATAAGCGATGACTATTTCCCCAAATACTGAGTGAATGGGAAATCAGAGACAGATTTTTTTTATGGCTTGCTGGAGACAGGTGTCCTGCTGTTTTGCATGCTTTCCAATTACGCCACGCTTTTGATTTTATTTATTTTTTTGGATCTACAGAAAATACACTAGGATTTGGGAAGAGTGGTGAGTTCCTTGCGTGACCTGGATAAGGAGTTCATTTTGGAGGCAATGGCGCTGACTGGGATGGCATTTGACTCGAATTTTGATTCGGATGTTGGATATTTTGCCGGAAACAGCTGAAGCATGGCAGCCTCAGCATCCGTGAGGGCGGAAATTCCCAATCCACTTCGAGACGCTCGGAGAGAGAGCTAAAGGTCCACCGTGGTTTCCTGCTCTTCTACATTTATTGGTTTCTGAAACCAGAAGCCTTCACCCAAACAGGCATGGTTCAGGGTTGCTGATCCTGAGTTGGATGAGGAACTCTGGAAATTGGATGAATTAAATCATTAGGTGACAGAAAGTATTTACATATTGTTTATGCTACCGTAAAAAATTAGGCTGAAGTCTACAGACAGGGTAGACAAATCTTGCTTATAGAATAAGTATTGTGAACTAATTGTTAGGACACTGATATGTCACCCTCCTTGTGTTCTTATAATAGTGAGTCCTACTTTTCTCAAATAAGGTTTTATGGGTAGACAGGGGCTTCCCAAGCAATCATAGCCACCTGAATATAAAGTTGAATGAAACAGAAAGAGAAATAATTGCAGCTGACAGTGGAAAGTTCTCAGTTCTTAACGTTTCCTCAAACACAAATATAGTCAGTTTGACACATAACTGCCAGTGATGAATAGGAACATTACAAATGGTAATGTTCGGCTAAAGTCTTTGGATGTGTTCGGCTTACTGTACTGTATGTTACTAATCCCTGTGTGCTGGGTGTCTTCTACAGAGTAGTGCACCATTTACAGAACTTCTGGGCTTTCCAATCATCCCATTCGTTGACCCACTAAAGTTCGTTGGAGTACATCAGTGTTATGCAAGCAAGACAGCGTCGACCTGACCTGACCTTATTTAATCTTGGGTTCAGGAATAATTCCTGAAAAGTTGATTTCCAAAGCCTCTCCTGCTCTTCTGAAATGTACTCTTCGTTTGTAGCTAAACATTTCATATACAGTATGACATACGAAGTGCAGGCTTTTATTCCAGCCTCTATTTTCTAGTGTTTTCTATCCGAGCAAAGGAAGGAGGCTGTTTCTTACCCATGCTCAAACAGCAGTTTACTTTTGTTAATGCAGTCAAAGATGAAAGAGAAGCACTTAACCAGCATCGCAATATGAAATCCCTGATTTGATTTCTCTTCTTTTTCAGGTTCTCATTTTGTACTTTCAGCCCAGCACGTTCCGCTGTATCCTCCTCAGATGGGTTCGCCTTTTGGGTTTTGCTATTGTCTATGGAACGGTGACGCTCAAACTGTACAGGTAAAACATTACTGACACACCATCATCGATACTTGGTGGCAAATCATATAACTTAGAGAATCCAAAATGGCCACTTTTCATATCAAGCATGCAGTATGCTTGAGAGTTTCCTCTTTCAAGAAAATGCATGGCACATGTCCCGGCTTTATATAATAATTTTGAGGTTGGTTACATATTCATTCGTCCAGAAGAAACAAATGGTGCTAGGAAGTAAAAGAACAGATCAGTTATGCAATGTGTGCTGACCCTTGATTCGTCCATGTTTCTCACATGATTTGCATGAGCCAATCAGAAAGGGACACACTGAATGCAGGAATGCCCGATACAGGGATGCTAAAGTAAGCTCACGTTACTGTGCTTTATCGGTGCCCATAATGGAGCTAAGAGCACAACGTTCAGCCAGCCAATGAGCTAATTGGGCAGTGTAGCAGGAGATAGATTTAAAGGCTGTCTCTGCTACTTTTGTTCAACCGTCTTAATGCAATTATCACTCGACCATTCTCTGTAGTAAATCGTAAAATATCAATTGCATGCAGAAATATACAAATATAAATTTGAAATTACACCACAGTAGAAGTCTGAGTATGACTCCTCAAGGCACTTTATAACACAGTATATAAAATTGCCCTTGCTGTATTATTTGTGTGGGACAGACAACGTTGTTTTGCGATTGTTTGTATTGATTCATTTGTGCACCAACTTCTTTCCCCTATAGTTCCTTTTCCCATCACACTTCTAACAGTAAATGTGGTGTTTTAGCAAGACATGAACACTCCATGAAATGCTGAAGCTTAAACAGTAGCAGACAGGAGGATTTGCTCCCACTTGACAGTCTCACACGCAGAACGGAAGGGGAATTCCAGTTCCTGGACCAGCAAGCATACCCGATGCTCGGCAGTTATTTAGATTCCTTTTTTCGAAAGATGGTATTCCTAAACTGGGAATCCTGCACTGAGCCATCATTTGGGGCAGATTTCACGGATTTCTCTGAGATATTTGGTAAAATGTGGGACTTATTATACGTGCAGCAAAAATAAATAAAAATCACTGCGTTTCAAACATGATAATCCTATGCGTGTCATCGCGTCCAAAACGACTGCAGATGAGCCACAAAATAAGGACATTAATCATGAATTCCATTCTGCTGAGCCACAGCACTTTTCTTCCTATGTTTTCTTTAACACAAAAAAGTTGCATGGTGATGGCGAAAACGTGCTCGGGCCAGGATCGTTAAATGCACTGCAGCGCAGACCAGTGGGAGAGTGGGGAGGGGGGAGGGCAATCATGCTCATGCACAATACAAGGCAACTGGGCCAAGTGTGAGTATGCCCTTAAACTTCTTCAAACTTTCTCCCAGACATTTGAATGAATTTTCCAAAGACGACAGCAAACGGACCAATCAGAGGGTTAAAAGATGTGGCATTGAGGATGGGGTTAAAGGTGCTTTATGCAGGGTAACAGGATAGGTAAGACAGCCCATGTCACCCTTTGCTGATGGTTCAGCCAACGCTTTTGGGAGTCAGGAAGGAGTTTGGGCACCTCATTAGGATGGTGAGGGCAGAAGTTCTGCTCATGGAAGAGATACATTATGCCCTGGGGCAAAACTATTTCCTAAATCCCCCTCAGGCCAATGGGCGCTTTGAGGACAGTGCAGTACCGCCTCTCACCTGCTGCCTATGAAATGTGGAGTTAGTGCTGTTCTTAGGCTCCTGTTCCTCCCTGAAATGTTGGGCCTTGTCAGTTTAACCATTAGAAACGCAAAATGTGTTGATTTTCGCACCCAATAATCTCAAGCTTGTAACTTTGGATAGGTATAACAGATATACATGAATTGCATATCGCTGGAATCGAGAGAACTTACTCAATCTGGCTGGCTAAGTTACAACAGTGTCCGCTAAAGTACTCCAGAGCGATGCTGTGTGCAATAAGGCATATATTTTAAGCGTTATCCACCAAAACGCACCCCTAAAATGCATGAAACATCAATATTATTCACATTAGACAGAAAACAAAGTGCACATTCTCTTCCGCAATGATCCACGTACTATCCTTCTGGGGAAAAAAAAATAAAAAATAATTAATTTAGTATAAGCCTATAAATAAATAGTAGTTCTACTAGAAATAACATCAAAACGCAGCATTCTATTTACTAGAAAGAGAATTACTTGATATTTTCATAATATTTATTCACAAAAGTTTGTATATGGATGTTTGATGTTGAGCTCTGTCAAAACAGTTGAAAGAGACCACACCCATTCTATAACTGGAACACCTCTCACATCTAAGCACAATGACATGCTACAGCACTGGTTTGTTGTTTGAGGCTAAAATGTCGACTGAAAGTATCATTTTCAAATTTCACTTTACCAATCATAGAGTATAGACAGAAAAACGATAGCAATAAACATTCAGCATTAGACTAAGACTGCCTGTTATGTCTGTGTTTCTCCAGTGGATCATAAACTAAGCGATGCTTTTCTATTTCAATGTCTTTCGGATGTTATGAAGTTTTATGTAGTTTCTCAGAAAAAGGATGATGTCAAGAATGTGTCAGCATTTACACATCAAATTATGACTTATCTCAGTTGCTCAGAATGTCCAGAAAGCAAAGCCATAAAGCATATTTATCTCATGTACATACCATGTAATAACCCTAAAATCATAGGGATAGAAAAATGCTCAAAAATGGATAGGGTTGAAAGAGTTAAATGGGTACCTGGATTATTTTTTTTTATATAAATGGCAGGATTCCCCTGGATTTTTCTTTTTTTTTAACTCCACTTGAGACACGTTTTGCTGTCATTCGCTGAGAGGATTTTCAGCTCTGCTTAACCTGCCTAGATAAACGTCTCTCTTCAAACCACAGTCATTTCATACGGTTTTAATTGTCTGTTAACATAATAGGTTCGTGCACAGTGGAAACACTCTGTCCTGCCTCCGGTCCATAAAAGGCAGAGTAAGAGGTTTGCGGCCTCGTTAAGCGGGATGGAAAATCTTCGGCTAAAGCTGAAGTGAGCTGAAGAGTTCGGGACATATTGCTGCTTTTTTCTAATACAAAAGACAAGCGGGGGGGGCAGGAATCAGGGCAGGAAAGGGGATCTTCACACTGAAGAGGGAAGCATACAAGACAAAATAACGGTGACAGGTCAGGCCTCTGGCACAGACATGCTGGGAGAGATAATGAGATGTTTGCCCCTTTATTCAAAGAAGGTGGACTAAAAATATGTTACAGGTCAGGTGTTGAGCTCAAGGACGGTTAATGCAGTCCTTGATTAAGGAGAGGTAGATGAATAGGGTAAAGGCTAACCTTACCCTACTCAGGCTAAAGGCTAAAGGCTAACCTTAGTCTACTCGGGCTAACCTTACCCTACTCAGGCTAAAGGATAAAGGCTAACCCTACCCTACACAGGCTAAAGGATAAAGGCTAACCTTAGTCTACTCGGGCTAACCTTAGCCTACTCAGGCTAAAGGCTAACCGTAGTCCAATTCGCACAGCTCCATTTCTGATTTTTTTCACACCCTAATCAATCCCATGCCCATGACGTCACTGCGCAAGGCATTGTGGGTTTTGTTTGTTACGGTCGCCATTTTTGGAGTAACCCTGCCTCGTTAACAGTGGTTGGACAGTACTGCCATATCAAGGACCGTCACAGCCGATCACATGACCATTCAGGAAGAAAAGGACTGATATACATTTCTTCTCCTTTCCTGCTTGGAAAAGACACGAAGGAGCAAAAGCAGAAGAGGCACAGAAAAGTGAATAGTGGCACAACAACCTGAAAGTGTTTCTGAGAGTAGTGTATGTCAGATTAGGAGAGATGAAATTAACCTTTAGTTGGAAGATAACCAGCGAGACCAAGGTTTTGACATTAAGGAAAGTGTTTGAATGATGTGTGCTGAACTGAAGATACAGTGGAAACTGCTTGTAGTGATCACGTCTGTCTGGGCAAAACAGATCACAATAACCAGGTGGTCATTATTTGTTTCAACTGAAACTATTGTTTCAACCGCTTTTCAAATGACAGAACTGTACAAATTAAATCACTGAACTGTGTATAATTCAAATGTGCTACAATACAGAGCTGCACATAAAATATAGCTTATTGTAGTTTTGCTGCATCTCGGTGCCTCATTTTTGGCCATTTATTGTAAGTTTTGATGAGCCTATATTTGTCATTGAGAGAAAATTACTTGCTTTTTCCCCATCTTGTTTTCTGTGCACACAGTATTAGCCTCAGGTAGCTAGGCAAAAGTAGGCTTATCAAAGTAAAGTAAGAAAAAATAAATAAATAAATTCCGTAAGTTGTCATGTAAAAAAAGACCCAAAATGAATACTGTAAGTGGACTGCTTGATTACTACAAGCAAGTTATTTAAGCTGTATTTGTACAGGAATGGTCCTGTCCCAAGCTTTTTTGAACATTAAATTATAGTTAAACATGGTGCTGTAAACATTTGCTTGTTTTTTAACTCCTTGAAAGTGTACGCACTTACACTGTCTTCCTCTTCGCGTTGGGTTGGTTTATTCCAAGGTGATGAATTACTGGTGCTTTGCGTTACTCCTTTAATGGTGCCGCTGCTGATGCGGTTCTGCCATAACGCCACCGACCGGATTGGATCTGTGGATGTGGAGGCCTTCCCGTGTGAAAAAATGTTTGGGAAAGTCCATTATGTAGACCATGTTTTGTGTCTGTTTTCCTTAATTTTTATTGTGAAAACATCTCTTGTTCTGAAGCTGATGTACAGTGGCTACTGGGCTTTATTTTTGACTGGGATGTTCCAGCACTGGGAATAGCCTGAGCTGCTGTAGTCAGCACACTGAGATAAACAGATGAAGTTGGGGGAAGTATTTCTGGTTAAGGGAGCCCAGAAATGAAGTGGATGACGGTTTTTTTTTTCAATGCTTGATGCACAACAATTAGCCAAGTAGAGTCTGCTGCTGAAAACGTTCAGAGTCAGCGGTTTGTGTTTGCAGGGGGGATGTACCTGGTTCATAATTCCTTTTGGCCACAAATTTGTTAGAAGGTTCTGCCTGTATAACCCCTTATGAGGACAGGCTGTTTAAGCAGGTGACTCATGATACCCCATTGGTAGAGCAGTTCTAGTACCTAGTGTAGTTATTGATGGAAGAAAAACTGCTCCTGTGAAGGTGATAGATGGAGAGAGGAGTTTCTGATGCCCAGTGGTTTTAGTGGAATGGGCAATCATGCAGTCATCGGAATTAACGTAAAACCCTAAACATATGAAGTAGTACAGTATGTGATTAGTACAGCATGATGGTATTGTGGGATTAGTGCCTCCTACAGGTCTGTCGGTTATAGCTCTGAGTTCTGATCATGTTCTGTTGGGCCGTTTCAGGGTTCTGAAGGTGTTCCTGTCACGCACGGCACAGCGAATCCCCTTCATGACCAGTTGGAGGGTCCTTCACCTGCTCGCCGTCATCCTTCTCGTCGTCTGCTGGTTCCTGGTAGCCTGGACCTTAGCCATCTGCCAGAATCTGGAACGGCATGTACCACTCATCGATGTGGGCCTCACAGCTGAGGGCCTGCAGTTCAGCATGTGCCTGCTAGACCGGTGGGACTACATGATGGCCATTGGTACGTCACAAAAAGCGATTCTTCTGCGTAAACCCAACAGGGGGCACCCTAATCTTTGCTCATTAAACATCTGACTTGTTTCTCTGTGGGACACACCACAGCGGTTCTTACTTGTTACTTATGTCAAGGGACCTCATGATTAGCCAATGGAAACTAGTATGGGAGGGAGGTGGGTTAAACCTAACAGCAATCAAGCACGATGACCCCGCCCCCTCACCTGCAGAGTGGGAACCATTCTGTGCAGGTTCTGTATGGATACAGTGACAATCAGTCTATAAATGGGGACCTGTGCTGGAGTAACCATGACAGGGAAAACCCTAGAAGATGTGTTTATGTCTGAGAGAGAAAGAGTGGGGGGAGGAGCAAGAGAAAGGAGGAGGGAGAAAGAGAGAGAGAGAGGGGGAAGAACAGAGACGTGGAATGTGCTGTCAGCGACAGCCCAGCAAAAAGGACAGCTCAGGTCACCGGCGAGACAAGAGGTGAGGAGCGAAGTGGGGACAGAGGGAGGCGCACTCCCAAACAAGTGGGGGGGGGGCATCCTCAGGAGCAGCTACAGCAATTAATTCTGACAAGCAAACCGGGGAAGAGAAAAGGCCGTGGGAAAAAAAAAGGAAACAAATCCTGAGCTGTGTTTTCTTTGCCACAAGCCAGAGTGGCCTTGTTTAACATGCGTGTCCCACGGCGGATAATCCACCACGGTCTAATTGAACAAATACCGTGATTTCCGGGGGCTGATGCAGGCCCCTGACCTGAGAGATTAATTCTGAGGTACAGTTTACTCTGCGTTATGAGAAAAAACCTCCACAGTTCAACATAAATCCTGTAAATACGTAGTTCCGTGCTGGTTCTCTTGTGATTTAGATGTTAGTTTATTGATTCCTTGGCCACAGAGCAGTGGACAAACAGAGAGGCGCCTGCAAGAATTTTATCTCAGGGTTTGTTCCCCAACCTGCCAAGTAATGAATTACATTCTTGCCTCAACTGGGGCGGTGGGGACCCCCTCAGTAATTTTTTTGGACCGGGGGGATCCCCTGTAGTTGAAAATTGCTGATCGTCCAGTGCAGTCACCATCTCACCAAATAATAACAAGCGTAAATGCCAAGGGTCTGCACTGGTCCATGGACACAACGTATGGGACGTTGCCTGCAAGGCCAGTCCTGCTTTGAAGCTGAAGTTTTCAAAGGCTCCCAGCCTGGTTGGCACGAGAGCCGCTGTCCCTGCTTCCGCTTAGTGCGGCGATGTCGGTGAAACGGCAGGTTAAACCCACATCTAGCCCTTAAGACGCCACGTGAGTTGTTCCGGTCACCACAGCTGCCTCATCTCCTGATCTGATGGATTTAAGCTGACAGAGTACAGCAGATGATTTCAGTAAACTTCTCGCTATCTGCCTGTGGCCCCTTTGCGAGAACAAAATGCTGGCTGGCAAAATTCCTTTGCCGGTGAAATAAAAACAACCAAAAAAATAACATGCTGTACTTTGCGTACCCTGGTGTAGTGTGCACAATATTTCCCCCTGGGATCAAGACTTCTTTTATATTATTTTATCTGAACATCATTTTCTACCATCTCAATACATTCTGTAGAATTTTTATGCAGTATCACTTGCAGATTTAATTCAGTTCAGTTCAATTCAATTTATTTTTGTATAGTGTCTTTCACAACAGTGTCGCCCCAAGGTGCTGTGCATGATGTTTTGTAATACATTACTAAGCAAAGAAATAAAGAATGACTTTGATGCCCAAGTTGCCTTTTAAAATGCCCCTCACCCTCACACCCTGCCCCCCCCCCCAGCCGAGCTGCTCTTCCTCCTGTGGGGCGTGTACCTCTGCTACGCCGTGCGGACAGTACCCTCCGCTTTCCACGAGCCGCGCTACATGGCCGTTGCCGTGCACAATGAGCTCGTCATCTCCGCAGTCTTCCACGTGGTCAGGTGAGTGGTCACATGACATTCGTATCCATCAAGCAAAAAACAAAACAAAAGTGGAAGAGATCTAAATGTTATTCTTAATAGTGGTGAAAGCATATTGTTATGTATTGGGGAGCGCGGACCAGGGAAGCAGAAGCAGCACTCGAGGTGTTGGGAGAATACGGGGTTTAATCGCAGGAAAGACACGATTGGGAGACAACCACATAACGTCAATGACCGGACTGGGGATACATACTGTAACGCGGACTTAAATACGCAGGACTAATCAACATGACTGGAAACAGTTGGTGACATCAGGTAGCAAGGGGGGCGTGGCACACAGGAGGATCGGACAGGCAAGGCATGACACATATCATATTGGGCCCCCAAATCAGACCAATCCAATTATGTTTCAGGTTTTTTAGGGCCCCTTCCTAACTTTCCCCCCACTATGGTGCTACATCCCTGTAGGAAATGTAACTATATGTGACAAAAATGAAATAGTTAATGCTATGATATGGAGGATTTGTAACAAAGTGCTGGTCAGACCCCATGTGCCCTACCCCCCCGAACCCCCCCGCCCCCCCTGCCGGGGAGGAAACCTTCACCGGCTGCTTTCACTTTGTCAGCTTTCACAGCTTGCCTGGCCCCCCATCACTGGCCCACATTAGCACATACCATTTGTCCCAAAATTTTCAAGTATTTCAATTCTCATTGCACTTTTTTTTTGACTCCCCCAAGTCCAGCAGACACAGAACTTCCAAATAACAAAAGAAGACCTGTTACTGTAGGCTTTTCCGCTGACTATCAGATATGTCCAGCGACAGTTTGTACAACCACTCCAACCACACGTTTGTGTGGGAGCCCCCTGTTGGCCACAAACAGTCACTGCATTAAATATGAAATCGACATTCCTTATTTAGGAGATGCTGAAGCTGCATGTTCTGCTTACTGGCTAGCTAGCTACAATTCTCTGACTCTACTTGTCAGCTGTTTGTTTAGTTTTTGAAACATCTTTGGGGGGGGGGGGTACCCAAACTGACTTTTTGAATGAGGCCACAGAAATAATAAACCCACCCTTGGCTATAGCCATAATTGTCCTTATCTGATTATGGGAATACAAGTATTTCCGCTGATCATGCGATGCCCAGCCTCTGAAATGGGTTTTATGCCCTGTGTTTCCCCACTGAGGGGTTTGGGGTGAGCAGTCACCTGATGTACGGGGCCCGACGTCCCGAGAAGCAGGTAGACACACCATTAGTAGCATCAGCGCCATATCGTAACGCACCTGCTGTTTACCTCCTGTGCATTTTTAATCCAGGTCATTTATCCACCTCTCCTCCTGCTGTCTTTTATTAATCAAACAGAAGGTGTCACCCCCTCTGAGAACAAAATGTGCCTCACCTGTAATAAATGTCTTTGGAAGGTGACTTCATTAAAAGGATCCATCTTCACTCTCTGCAGTATTAAAACCTGTCGAGACACAACGGGAACGCAGCTGAATGTGTTCCTGTGTTGTCTTTTTGCTCTTTTCCAGACGATATTTTATGAATCTGGAAACATACTTTTGAAGCTATAATCATTTTAAGCGTGTTTCAAGGTAGCTCGCAAAGTAGCTTATTAGCTTGTTGTTAAAGATTTGGTGCATTCTTAATATCACTGCAGTGTTTACTCAAACTGGCCAAGATAGTTTTGCTCCGTGTGGATCTTTCCAGGGCAGAGATATCATTTGCATGGGGGATATGAAAGACCTTTGAGCAGGAAGTGTGGATGGCAGTATTGTAGTTGAGGTTGAACTGTCAAAATCTACAGAGGGACTGAGCTTCTGCTCTCAAATTGCATAAACTGTTCGGATGTTATCTCTCTGAACAAAATTATACTCTGAAAAGTAGAAACAACTAAGCCAGCCCATTAAAACCCTTAAAAATGACAGGAAAACTGTAGATATCAAAATCTCCTTGTTAGTACAGTGGTGAAAATCCCTACCTGTCATGTGAAGGACTAGGCTTTAAGTCTCTGACACTTTGACAGGAATTGCCCTTCCTTTAATGTTTGTACGGGGCTATTTTCCTCATCTGTACATTACTCTGAACAAAAGCACTGCTAAAGAAAATAAATGCAAAGGTTTATGTTTTGTATTAATATGACTGATCATACACAGATTTCTTACTGTATAACGAAACACCAACTAAGGTCATTTCCTTGTGACACCTAAGGCATCATACACCACTGGCAGCTGTCACTGGCAGATGCATGCTGGGAGAAAGCCTCTTACAGCAGGTCCGCACCATGGTTAGCCCCTTCTCTGATTTGCTGTCCCATCAGTCATGTGACTCTGGTATTTGGCTTTCGCATTGATAATTTTTCACTGAAGAGCGAATGGATGGACAGGTAACAGTAAGAGGTAAATGGAGTTGTGACCCAGAGAGGTAGCAATCTGTTCCTTTTCATTTACATTTAGGTCCACACGATGTCTCCAGTCACCCTGCCGAACATAAATCTCATTTACATTTATTTACCAGACACGTTTGTCTAAAGTGATGTGCAACTTAGAAAGCGGGGTCAGACGGTCCCTGGGCCAATTTGGGGGTTAATGGCCTTACTCAAGGGGCCAAAAGAACAGTAAAATCACTCTGCCAACCATGACATTTCAACCGATTACAGAGTCCTAAACTGCAGAGCCACACATAACTCCACACATCTTATAAGAGACAAAATATAAAACAAAACCAACATGCTTTATTTGCACAAGTACATTGGCAGGGTCCTCTTTGCTGACCCCATAGCTTGGGGGGGGTGGTCACAGCACAGGGTCAGCTAATGTACAGCACCCCTGGAGCTGGGGGTTAAGGGCCTTGCTCAAGGGCCCATGGACATGTGACTATTCTGCCAAGGCTGGGGTGTGAACCAGCGATTTTTGGATGACAGGCATTTAGTCTGCTGAGTCACACACTTTCTCCCAGTATGATGGGGTGGTCATTTTGAGGTGGGGTGAGGTCATATATACACACACACACACTAAGTGAAATTTCGAAGTGATCCCAAATTTTGAACGGTAGTGTATGTGTGTGTGTATTATATATATATATATATAATATGCGCACACTCACACATACACACACATCATATACATTCAGCTTCTAATTTCTCTCCCCTAAATCATCATGCCTCGGTTTTGAAGCCCACACCTCTCCCTGTGGAAGCCGTTCCCCTAATCCGACACTCATCGTCTCTTCCTGGGTCTTTCTCCTTGTTTCGACACCAAAACATTTCTGCTGCAATTCCCTGCTCTGATCATCAGCCTTCTTGCCGTGGATCTTAGACTCTGACAATATGTACTAATCCCAAGCTTGTACCTTAACAGAAATGTAAACAATGCAGCGAGTGAACAATGTAGGCCATTGTTTGAGGTAAATATAGCTCAGGTGAAGAGCATTTCCTTCAGAGAAAAGAAAGTTTCTAGCTAAACAGCACAAAGAAACATCTGGAAAGGAGATTGTAACATATGCTCAAAAAATGACTAGCGGTTTGTAAATCTGCTCAGACCTAAAATAAATTCACTGTATCTCATTACACTTCTCTCAAATGCTGCAGGTTTTCTGGTATCTGTCTCTTCATTCTGTTTCAGAAGCTGAGATACCAGTATTATTTTCTGAAATGACACAAAATATTGGCTTGGCTGTGATGCAATGAATTTAAATGTAATCTAAAGAGTTGAGAGTTTTAGAGAGATTCAAAATTTTCGAGGATGTGCATGCCACGTTTCATTTTCAAGGCTTGGTTCTATTCAACCAACCAACCAACCAACCAACCATTGTCCAACCCGCTTATCCTACTGGGTTGCGGGGGGTCCAGAGCCCATCCCGGAAGCAATGGGCACGAGGCAGGGAACAACCCTGGATGGGGGGCCAGCCCATCACAGGGCACACTCACACACCATTCACTCACACATGCACACCTAAGGGCAATTTAGCAACGCCAATTAGCCTCAGCATGTCTTTGGACTCTGGGGGGAAACCGGAGTACCCGGAGGAAACCCCACGACGACACGGGGAGAACATGCAAACTCCGGTTCTTTTCAAGATTCAAGTAATTTACTGTCGTATTTGCAGTGTCTACACAATGAAATTCTTACTTTGTTTTCTCCTTCAGATGCTACAAAAAGAGTAAAATGATAATAGTCAGGTGCATAGGAAAGGGTGGCGGTGGGGATGGAGAGGAATATTTCCCCCCCAATATTTCATTTGGCTTCATTTGTTCCCCCGAAAAACTACTGTAGACCTTTAGATTTAAATTATGAAATTGTGCTCCCAATATAAAACTCTCCTATGCCCTTGAGCACAGTAGATAAGCAAATAACATATACATATTCACCACAGATAAAAATATGAAAGGAAAAAAAGGAGGAATTAGCAATAAAAATTATTTGCCTCACTTGTTCATCACTTCAGACAAAAGCATCCTGTAAACGTAATGTTGATATATACTGGTCATGTTTCGTATTGATGTGACTGATCAGATAGATGTTTTATAACAAAATAACTACAAAGGTCATTTCCTCTTGACACTCCATGCATTATACACCACTAGCAGCAAAAGCATAACACAGGCACAGTAGATCAGTGTCTGACCAGTGTTCCTCCAGACAGTCCACGTTTCTTGCGCCTTCCCAAGTCCCAGGGAACTGGGAGAGAGCAAAAACATGGACCGTCTGGGGATCCCTGAGAACTGGTTTGAGAAACGCTACAGTAGATAAGTATATAAAAAGTGTCTAACCGTGTAAAATATACATGCATAAAATGTAAAAGAAGCTAATGAAACGTACATGGGGCTCGGCGTTTGCCTACAGATTCACAGCCGCCTCTGGACTCCACCCTGATTGGACGCTGATGCTGTGGTTTGCCCACACACACCTGACAGTGACAGTGACTATCGGTTTGCTGCTCATTCCAAAGGTATTTCACCGTCAACTTCCCTCCACGCCCACACGTCTCTCAGCCCCCCACAGTAAAGCTCCTGTCAGAGCTGGGGACATCTCCATGAATCTATTGCCTAGAAAGTTTAATGAGAGTTCTCATTAGACCTCTCCCACAGTCTCCGAGAGGCTGCTGGTCTCCTGTTTCTACCTGAACGAAGCTTGTCGGTGCCTCTTGCTTGTATGTGCCCCCATCTGTTGGCACAGTTCCTGTTCGCGGGCACGCCCACACGGGACGACATCGCCACGGAGGCGTATGAGGACGAGCTGGACATGGGTCGGTCTGGGTCCTACCTGAACAGCAGCATCACTTCTGCCTGGAGTGAGCACAGCCTGGACCCTGAGGACATCCGGGTCTGTACCTCCCCTACCTCCTCTCTGTGATCAATTACATACCAAATTTTACCTTGTTTGAACACATCAACAATATTGAGCAGTATGCAGTTGTTTCCATTGCATACACCAAATAAAATGAAGCAGCTCAGTTGTATTAATGTCCTTGCTGTACAATCTTGCGACAGAAACATAAAAATGTGAGGGGAGGCTTTGTTGTTTGTTAGAGCTGAAGAAATCTACCTGGACAAAAATTTTTAAACATTAAAACAACCTCAAACAAATAGCCCTTAAACAAAGTTTCCAAACATCAAATAGAGACAATTCCAGAACTAACAATGGAATGCAACATTTCCCAAGACTTACTTTACTTTCCCAAGACAGCATTACTTTCCCAAGACTATTGTGTCATATTCTTGTTTGATTTATTTGTTGGTTTATGTATTTAGAAGCATTGGAAACGGTTACATTCAAACTTGTACTGCATGTTGCATGTGCTATATACATTGTGGCCTCTAGGGTACGCTGTCTACCTCATTGTGAAATGTTGATGGAGGTATATCTCCTGGGTTTCCAACACTGTTTCTTTTTTTTGTCCATATGTGTATGGTTACACAGGAGGAACTGAAAAAGCTGTACGCCCAGCTCGAGGTCTACAAGAGGAAGAAGATGCTGGCCAACAACCCCCATCTGCAGAAGAAGAGAAGCTCCAAGAAGGGTCTGGGGCGTTCCCTCATGAGGCGCATCACAGAAATCCCGGAATCAGTGAGCCGGCAGTGCAGCAGGGAGGACAAGGAACTGGGGGATCATGGGAGTAACAGGAACAGCATTTGCACCCTGAGAAAGAACCCATTTGAGCCCTCCCACTCCACCAAGCCCAAGGAGGACTCTTTGAAGAACAAAGTCTTCTCCCTCAAGAAGTCCCATAGCAGCTATGACCATGTAAGGAACCAAAGTGAAGACTCCAACAGTTCAGCCACTGATAAGATGGAGGTCTCCAATGAGAACTCCCTGCTGGAGTCTCTGATGGGCAAGAAGCTGGTTAAGAAAAAATCTGCAGAGAAGATCGAGGCCGAATCCACAGAGTCTGTTCCTCTGGTGTGCAAGTCTGCCAGTGCTCACAATCTGACTGCCGATAAGAAGCCACTGCACCCCCGCACCTCTATGCTACAGAAATCCCTCAGCGTTATTGCTAGCGCTAGGGAAAAAACTTTGGGGCTGGCGGGGAAAGCCCAGAATGTGGAGGAAAACAATAAGAAGAACCATCAGAAGAGCAGAGAGGCCAATACCCACCCAGACATGGAAGAGAAACTGCCAGAAGATTCCATCGCCATGACTCCAAGTCAGTATGTGGAAAACAAGCAGCTGACCAGCAAGACCGGTATAATCAAACCCCAGGTTAGTGGAGGCCAGTCGTCCATGTCAGGCGAAATGTGGAAGAACAAAGATCTATACGACCTCTCTGAAGTATGTCCCTGGGAAGTGGAGGACCTCACCATGCCATCTGAAAGCAAAATGCAGAAACATGTCTCCATTGCTCCAGAGGAGACTACTTCAGTTCATGGCAGTGGCACTAGAGGTAAGACAAAGCAGAAGTTAAGAGTCATGGATGAGCCTTTGTCAAACAGCAGACATTCTGGCCAGATAGTAGATGAGGGAGAATTGTGTTTCCAGGACCCAGAGGGTGAAAGCTGGTGCCTGGGGGATGGGACCAAGCCTCCCACCACTGGTCATTCTATTCCGGCACATTCTGCTGGGGAGAGCAATAAAGCTGACATTTGCCCTTGGGATTTTGAAGAATTGCCGGTAAAGCAAGTCACAGGGGTGAAATCATCAGAGAAAGACAGGGGCAAGGGTGACACATTGGTAGAAGGGACAGGGGGGGGTCTTCACCAGGATCGCCCAAAGTCTAAGCCCACAACACGGGTGGACATTTGCCCCTGGGACTACGACTGTCCTACATCCTCAAATTCTGAGAGGGGTTCCAGTCTAGCACAGCTTTCAAAATTAAAGGACTCTGTCTCAAAAAAGAGAGCCACATCTTCCTCAAAGATGGCAGAGATGGAGAAGGAGAAGCCAAAGGAGAAGAATAATGAAAAAGGGAGACAGAAAATGAGGGAGAGCACAGAGAAATGGCCCAGCCAATCGAAAATAGAAGAAGTCTGTGCTTGGGATGTGGAGAGCCCTACAGAGACATTGCCTGGAGACACACCAAAAAGCTCAAGTAAACTGGGCATTGGCCAAAATAAACAAGCTGATATTTGTCCATGGGATTTTGAAGATGAATCAGATAATAAAGAACAGAACAGAAATCCATCTGCTGCGAAACAAATCTCTCCAAACTTCAAAGGAGGTGATTCTGGAAAGGCTAGATTGGCGGATGTTTGCCCCTGGGACTTTGATGAGCCAACATCAGGGAAAAACGCATGACACTCGATGTGGCTGGACATCTCAAAATGAACGTCCCATTAGATAATTGTTTGTCATTGATACAAAACCCTCAAACCTTTACTAACATTATCACAACTTGGGTATTCCTTGGGAAGGAATTCCTTTGGAAGGAATTTTTCCCCAAGTTGCCTTTTCCTTCCAGTGTTTTATTTTGTCCTTTTTTGAGAAAAAACAAAGGAAAATAGTGTCTTATATTAAGCATTCCAGATTCATACTGAGTATTTGCTTGAATTCTTAGATTAGTGTGGATCTTACAATTATGCAACTCTGAGTCACTTTATCCTCCAGTGAAGAACTCCTTACGAACTACAGTACTCTCATAATCCACCTCAGCCACTCAGATCATCACAGAGCCACTCCTCAAATGCATCGCACCACCATAAAGTTCATTAAATGGTAAAACTGTAGCCTGCAGGAGCAAACTGGACCTGAAAGTATGTAAATAATGTCCTCATGCTAACATGCTATATATACATTGTACCGCTGAATGTGATTTTGGCAGTTTAGCAAAGACTGGAGCTTAGTACCAACCGAAGATGAATGCCAAAGATGTACTTTGATATATACATTCTTATTTTGTGAACTGGCATAAGACAGAGTATTTTATTGTCTAACTAGCAATGAATGAACAAGATTATGAGAATTCAGTAAATACAATGAAAATTCATATGTAAAATGAGAATTCAGTAAATATGATGAGAATTCAGAAGCCAAATGAGAATTCAGTAAATACAGAGAATTCAGATGAAAAATTAGAATTCAGTAAGTACGATGAGAATTCAGATGCAAAATGAGAATTCAGTAAATATGATGAGAATTCAGAAGCCAAATGAGAATTCAGTAAATAGGATGGGAATTCAGAAGCCAAATGAGAATACAGTAAATACGATGAGAATTCAGATGTACAATGAGAATTCAGTAAATACGATGAGAATTCAGATGTAAAATGAGAATTCAGTAGATACAAAGCTCCCTTCTTTGCGTCTGGATGGCGTCAGATGTGTCCTGCTGTCCTGAGTGGTGACATTATTTATTTAAACACGTTGACAGTCTGGTTCAGTTTGTTTTTTTAAAAGTCATGTTTATCATCCCTCAAGATTTTTATACACTCACTTTATTTTTATTAGCACCTGGATTATAATTCTCACTATCGTCGCCATTTGCAGCTGTGACTTGATATAGTTTTTATTTAGTTAGGTCTCTTTTTTGTCTATAATGTTACTGTTATAACAGATTGTATTATTATTTTTTACAGAACAATTTGGTGTATGTTTTCAGCTGTTATGCATTGCATTTTTACATTATGTAATCCAACAAATACCATATACATTTAGATAAATCTTTTAGCACTTTTTCACCTAAACCTCAAATCAATCATTCAGTCAGCTAACAATATCAATCAAATCAATATAGCTTGAAAAGCCCACTAATTCCTGGAGGCTTCCAATGAACTTCAGTGTAATTAGATATGAAGTAAATTAAATAATGAAATGTTTCAATGTAGTTGCTATGTTTTAGAATAAATAAAATACTCTTTGTTAAATGGTTCATAAAGTAGAAAGGGTGTGTAGATTTTTATTTATGTGTTTATTTTTATATTGAAAAATACTAGGAAAAAAGTCTGTATTTTTTTTTCAACAAAAATATAATATATAATTGTCTTGTTTAGCTGTGTGAAACTATATCTGAGAACTTGCAGCATCCTCTAACTTGCATTGTGACGATTTTCTTTTTTTTTTAAATGTATGATAGTTTCATGCCTTAATTAGTCATTAGTTGACTTTCTAACAACCATGCAGAGGACGTAGAGGCCATGCAATAAGGACTCATCAGACCTAATAACTCTGCAGCATTCTCTGCTGTCTCATGTTCAGTAATTTGATACCGTTCTTTTTGGGTTATGGAATTTGCTGGAATGTGTTGTAATATATAATTATATTCTAGTACATAATACCTTGCTTATTCCTTTGTTGATAGTTTAATGTTGAGCAAAAGTTTCATGCAATATGTTCTTTTTATTACTTTGGGGATTTGTTTACTTTATTTACTTGTACCAAAGAAATCAATAAGTACAACTGCTTGGGTGTCAACTTTAACCTTCTTTCATTTTAGCAATTTAACCCTGTATAACCCTTTACTGCCACATAAGCTTACAAATGTACTTAAATTAGACAGTGTCTACTTAGAAGCATAACAGTGGTGTCTAAGTGAATATGAATGTCGTCTTCCATCAAAATTACTCAGCTCTGCCAAAATCATGATAACTGGTTTGAGTCCCAAGACTGTCTGAGGCTTCCCGCGATCTTCCCATATTCGTCTCTTAATGCCTGTCCTGAACATGACATTTACGAGACACAAGGTGGCATTTAAGGCCCTTCTTCACAAGTGATTATTTTAAAATTGAAGGGACAGTAAGGCATGTTGACCTGAATACAGTTATCAGTCAGAGAGTTTGGTAAATAGTGTCAAAACTGGGATTGATGACTGCAGGACTCTTAGCTGTCCAACTAGGGCGTTATCAGATGCTTCAGACACTAAACGGTTTAAGCCCCACTGGAGTATTCTAGTCACAGAACAGTCCCAGATTGCAGTTTTCCAGCCTCTCCATCTTGCTATATGCCAGTTAATCCATTAGACAACCTAGGAGGCAGCCTATGGCGCCATCTTCTGAGAGAGCACAGACTTATCAAATTAATTATCAAACCGGCATTTTTGGAAGAATCTGAGACTTGGGGAACTGAGCTATTCCTTGCATTATGTGTAAGAAGGAGAGAGTGGAGTCTAATAAGAGCAAATCATTCTTGAGGCATAAAAGCAGGAAGATAGACCTTGATATTCTCTCCCATTGTCCCGCTGCCTTTTGGAAAATTAGACATCTCGACACATTCCTCTTATGTTAACAACTTTTATACACTATATAAATGTGTGTAGGGAATGTTCTGGACGTGATCCTGCTGCAGCTGTTACCTTTTCCTGTTAATCGACAATACGGCACTTTAGCGTCAGGCTAATCGCTTAAACTAAATGCTAATTAAATTCTGTTTTTGGGGATTTGCTTATGGTGATATCTGTTTCTTTTCTGTAGCTTCTGCATGAAAATGATAACTAGCCAGATGGACAATTCTCTGCCCTCAAGAAAACAAAACTCTAGTCATTGGACTGTTATGAATTGTATAGTGAGTGAAATGGTACCTTAACCAACATATTACCTGCTCGTTAAAACAAGATGCTGTGTGATAAGCATATAGCATCCACCTGAAAATATTTGGTAGGTTTATATTGTGTTATATTGTGATAGCATGTAAATAAAATCTCCTCTGCAATAAATATTTCTACTAAACTGACTTGTGCAACTGAATTAGTTTTTTTTTACTTTACAAGTATGGCAGTACATTTTTATTTCGGCTTGGCTGAAAGCCGTTGGTGCCACAGTGGTCAGCACTACTGCCTCACACCGTGAGGACCTGTGTTCCAGTCTCTGCCATAGCTCTGTGTGTGTTTGCATGCTCTCCCCCTCTCATTGTGGGCTTTCCTCCAGGTACTCTGGTTTACCCCCACTTTCTGAATGTATGCGGTGGTTAATTGGAGTTGCCAAATTGCCCATAAGTGTACATGTGTAAGTGAGTCCTGTGATGGGTTGGTGCTCCACCCTGGGCTGTTCCCTGCCTTGCACTCATAGGCTCCAGACCCCTTATGACCCTGAATAGGACAACCAGTTATAGAAAATAGATAGAAGCCATTGACAAATGTATGTTGTGTTCCCATAGTTCTTTTGTACTGAATTGATGGGTTTGTGGATGAAATATGTTTTGCTTAATTTGCTAGCAACAAAATTGTTTTGCTTTGTGTATTTCCATTGCTGCCACAAATTCATGAAATCCCTGCTGCTGTATCCAGGACTGCCGCTAGAGATTCTGGACCCTGTGAAAGCATCATATCATATTGGGCCCCCAACCCAGACCAATCCAGTAATGTTCCTAACATCCCCCCCTTTACGGCGCCCCTGGCCGTGCCTTTAAGATCCCTCGTGTAAGCTGCTTCAGCAAATATACACTTTGGTAAATGTCTAATCTTTATAGTCTCTTGGAATAAAATTGTCTTCCCAGCATATGAATAATGTAACAGCAACATTTTGCCATCTTTTCGTAGCAACGCAAAGGAGGTTCTGCCATATATGATGCTGTCTGTCCTCCCTGCACCTAACACTGATTAGCTGTTTTTGAGACACGGAGGCAGGACCATTTTCATTTCAAGTGCCGTGTTAACGCTAGTCACAGTGTCACGATTTCACAAAGCCACTCTTGAGATATACAGCGGTAAGGCACTGCTCGCATGGCCTGCTGAACTGTGGCAAGACTGTTTTTACTTAAAGCATTGGGGTAACACTGGTCACTGTGCCCCAGATTCACAAAGCCAGTCTAGAGATATCCCGCTGTGAGAGGCTGCTGACATGACAACCCCCGAGTTGGGGTTGCCAGGTTGTAAATTTCCTCTGTGTAAATTTTCCATCTATGTTTAATATGGAAACAAAAACATCATTGTGCTGAACGGTGACAGAAAATCGAAGGGGAGCCGGAATGGAGCTTTAAAAAATACAAATGGAAGTAAACAGAGGAACGTGACGTCGATGGCTGGAATGTGCTTTTTAGTCATTAAGAAATGGGCCCAGTTACAACTCAGCTATAGATGATAGACCCAACAAATGAATATGAAACTGCGAATTGATTTTGACCTAATTTCTTTGAATTATTTTATCATACCTTGTTTACATGCACATTTTCCTTCATCTACTGGTAGTATTTTAGATCTAATTACCAATAAACAGATGTTTTATGAAGTTATATATTTAACTAGTATCTCTACTGTATGTCATTGTATATCTAATATTGTATTGTATGCCTCATTTGGAAGACCATCAACTAATTATATTTCACTGCTTATATTTATTATATTTTTGTATATTTCTGATATTTAGATCTATTGATGTTGTATTTCTGATATTTTGTCATTGTAGCTTAACATTTTAATGTGATTTTTACATTAATTGACTTTTTGAAATTCATTTTTTTATCCCGCATTGAGTATTGATTACAGGAATTTAACTTACTTTCATGACCATTACCAGACAACATTATTCTCAATGTAAAAATGGCCGATTGTTACATGCGTTAGTAGTAACTTTTTGATGATTAAAGTTTCTGGTGCCAGGAGAACATTACCTGCATTGCCTTCAGGGGTTGGGTTAGGCCCCTTAGTTCCAGTGAAGGGAACTCTTAATGCTTCAGCATACCAAGACAGTTTGGACCATTCTGTGCTTCGAACTCTGTGGGGACAGTTTGGGGAAGAGGCCCTTTTCTGTTCCAGCATGACTGTGTCCCAGTGCAAAGAGAAAGGTCCATAAAGTCATGGTTAGCTGAATTTGCTGTAGAAGAACTTGACTGGCCCACACAGAGCCCTGACTGGACGAATAGTCAAAAATTACCCCAGACATACTTCATAAACTTGTGGAGAGCCTTCCCAGGAGAGTGGCAGTAGTTATAGCTGCAAAGGGGGGACAAACTGCATATTGATGCCTATGGATTTAAAATGGGACGTCATAAAAGTTCCTGTAGGTGTGGTCAGGTGTCCCAATGCTTTTGTCCATATAGTGTATGTTATACATGTCTTAAAGGAGTGTTTGCAAATCATCAGTATATGAGATCCATTTCACAGCTGTCCAATGAAAAACTCATATTTCCAAAACACCATCATATTAGGAGAGTGAAAAAACACTAAAACCACGAAATAAAACAATATATTAAAATACCCTAGGCACCACAAACAGAAATCTCTCAAATGTGTGGTTTGATTGGTGGTAAACACCCTGCGGGACATTTCTTACTACTTTATGTGCTTATGAAAATACATAAGGTTGGTAACTCTGAGACCCTCCAAGCCTAAGAATCTAAGTGTGAGTAAGATGTAATAGGAGGCATCTCCAGAAGTTTCCCTCTTGCACGGCAACCTGCCAGCATCTGCTCATCATTCCTGTAGGCTAAAGAATCTGAGAACTGCCACTGCAGTTTATGCCTCCCGTCCAGGAATCACAGCAGGGCATAATGTAACCTGAAAGCACTCTGAATGCGTAAACAAATCATTTTAACATTGATTTCTGAAGCCTAAAAGCACTCCGTCTGCCCTCCTAATGACTCGATCAATAGCGCATTACTGTCTTTACCGATGACTCGTGTTGAGGTATCTGTTTGAAGAAATGGAGAGTGATGGAACGTGATATGTTGCTACCGGAGGGCAACAAGTTTAGAAATGGGCTTGGGAGGGAGATGGAGGCAGGTTTGTGTCAGGAAACATCTGTAAGGACTGTGTCTTCAAGATGAAACAGCTGCAAGACCAGCTGATGTTTTCATACAATCGCCAGAATGAGACCAAAGCCTCAATAACGAAACAGGTTTTTACCAACCAGATTAACCTGATATTTAATCTGATAGCAAAAAGTTGCTGTTATATACTTAAACTTACTGAAATATAAATAGGATGACTTAAATGATTTGTAATATGCAAGTGAATTTAAATCACATTGGGATATAAACTTATGTTGGAGCACAATTTGGAAGTCTTGGTAAATGTGCAGATATGTTGACATTTTCGTGTTTATTCTAGGCACGGGTGGTATGTCCTCCAACCTGCGACTAAATGTGGCCCAACACGCATTTACATCAGGGAGGACCTGTACGGTTACAATAAGTATATAACTGCACATATTTCCGCCCTTTTGGTACGCTTTGGTATTGCACATCAAGCAAGTGTTGCAGTTATCAGGGGTCACATTTTTGTAAGGCGTCTCTGCCTTGCACCCATTCCACATAGCTGCCGTGTTCACTTAGCTGTTAAATGAACACTGAGTCATTTTCCTTTAAGCTCTATGCATCCAGAACTGCCCGTTCCAGCCCAAGGCGGGGGGGAGGTGTTCATGACGTCTGTGTGCTTTATATGGCCCCTCACCTGCCCCCCTTCCCGTCAGCGCCACAAGGCGTGCGATAGTCATACTGAGTCTCCTGATGTTTATATACGCACAAGACCAGGTCAGGGCCCTCTTGAACTCAGCTGGGCTCAAAGGCAGCCAGAGGGAGGCCTCGCTCTCACAAGCCCCCTCCCACCTCACCGTAGGGGTGTCAGGTGCCTCCTGCCCCCTGCTCCCTACTGCTCCTGCTCTTTGAGCCCACGTGGTGTAAACCATTATATGTGCAGGTGCCTGCCTGCATTATGTCTGAAGTCTGGAAAACCCAAATGGATCAGAGGAAGAACCAGAACGAGTCTGGCATCCCAAGGCATCGAAACCTGAGCAATGAGTTGCTGGTTCTAGGACCAGAGGGGGCAGAGCATTTGGTGATCTCAACTCCTGCAGCTTCAGAGTCCCTACTGTTGTATGTGTGAGCATAGGACATAAACTGAACTACTCCTTGAAACTCCCTGCTCTGAAAATCAGGCGTTAATGTATTACTATAACAGGATCAACTAAGCACATATGTCTGAAGTGATATTTGAGACCCTGTAGTGTTCATTTTTAATTTCATTTGAAATCTGGGTCAACTCACTTAAAGTTGACACCATCTATGACAAGGCCACTACAGCGGCAAGCTGGGCTTGCCCACGCTGCACCTGTACCCAATCCCATCATCCCTGCAACATTGCAGAGGTGGGCATTGTTGAGGATTCCCCCCACACTATCTGATCGCAAAGGCCAATTCAGCATTTCTGGTCTTCCCAGTGTTTAAGGAACTACCTCCCAGGGAGCTGTTACTCAGCTCTGATACATTACCTATTTACACAGCTGGGCACTTCCTAACATTCTAAAACAGTGATTCCCAATCCAGTCCTCGGGGACCCACAGTCCATCCATGTTTTTGCTCCCACCCAGCTCCCTACCAGACAGTCCATCGGGAGCTGGGATGGAGCAAAAACGTGGACCGTCTGTGGATCCCTGAGGACCGGATTGGGAAATACTGCTCTAAAGGCTTACATTTATGCTGGTTCAGAAGGCCATTGCAGAAACAAATGAGAGGGTTCAGACCCTGTCCCTGGCTCTGTGTGTGTGCTGCCTGTCCATGGTGTCCCCTGCTGTGATGGACTGGTATCCCGTCCAGGGTGTGGACTGGCATCCTGGCCATGGTGTCACCTGCTGTGATGGACTGGCATCCTGTGTGTCCCCTGTCCTGCACACTGTGCTTCCTGGATACACTCCAAGCTTACCTGCACTGGATAAGCACTGAATGGATAAAATGAAAGTTTTTGATA